CTTCCATTATATAATAAATTTTAGTGATCATTAATCTTACTGATTATAATTTGGTCTAATAAAGTATAACATCAAAATTATAATCTAAAAATGTATATCCAACTGCAATATATTTACTAGATGTTCTTTAGCTTTATTTTTTTAAAGATTTATTTATTTATGCATACAGAACCGGGGTACTGGCCAGAGGTGCAGGGATGGTGAGAGGACTCACCACACACAGAGCAGTGAGCAGAACAGGCAAATGGATGAAGTACGCTGCTGAGGGGAGCAGCGGCCGGGTTAGGAGACGTCTGTCGCAACACGTGGATCACCTCCGAGGTCGGCAGGAATCGAACTTATGCTAAAGTGGCTTTTGTTTCTTAGTGCTGCGCTTTAACCCACTGTGCTAACATGGAGGGTCCTGATGTTTTTAGCTTTTTAAAAAGCTAAACAAAAAGCTTTCGGTCTTCCAAAGATGCCCTAGTACTTGGAAGCTATAAATATGTTTCCTCGTTGGACTAAACAAAAATTTGCAGATGTGATTAATTGAAGGATCTTAAAAGAGGGACATTATGCAGGATCATTAGGGCCTAATATACTTATAAGGGCCCTTAAAAGATAGAGTATGGAGTGAGAAAAGGAAAAGTGATAGCAGAAACAGAGGTCACAGTGATGTGATTCTTGGCTTCAGAGAGGCAAGAAGGAAGGCATTATGTATTACAAAACAGAGGAAGTCACCAGCAGATGGAAAAGGCAAGGAAAGAGATTCTCCCTAGAATCTCCAGAGGAATGCAGGTTTATTCATCTCTTGAATGTAGCCCAAAGGGAGGCCTTTTTGGACTTATGACCTAAATCTATGTTATTTTAAACCACTCAATGTGTGGTAATTTCTTATAGCAGAAATAAAGAGCTAATACAGAATATTTCAAAATCATAAGTTCTGGCTTTATCTTTGCAATTTGATTATAGACAAGATTCCTTACTTCTAGATCCTTCTTATCAGAAAGTGTAAATTATAAAAATGTATGTTCAAGAAGGTCTAACAATTAATCTACATGAAGAAGTCAGGTAGATATTAGGTATTAATTGTAGAAGAAAAGCAAAGTGAAATTTATAACATAAAAATTGCTAAGCCTGGCCCTCCCTGGTGGTGCAGCGGGTTAAAGCACAGCACTGAGAAGCTAAAGACACTTCCGTTGAGTTCGATTCCCGCCTGCCCCAGAGGTGACCACATGGCATGGAAGACCTCTCCTGACCCACCAGTAGCTCCCCTCCACAGTGTACTTCGTTGATCTGCCTGTTCTGCTCCCTACTCTATGTCTGGTGAAGCCTCTCGCCGTCCCTGAGTCCTTGGCCTGTACCCCAGTTCTATATGCACAAATAAATGAATCTTTAAAAAGAAAAATGTTAAGCTTGGTTTTTGCTTCAAAGTCCCCAAAGTTAGCCTGCTAGTGATTCTTTATAACATATTCGCTACAAGTTGAAATATGATGGCGGAAAACTGCTCCAACATTGAAACCACTTCATGATTTGAGCTCATTCACTCTACTCCTTTATTATCTAGCCTCTTTGGGAAAGAAGTAATATACTTGGCTGGCTACAAATTTATGAGTGTAGTTGCTTTTATGGCTCTGAATGTAACAGAATTTAAGTAAATACTGATAAGGTCTCTATACTTCTGAGAAGTTTCCACCCACATAATATTGCCCTATCATTGGAAATACAAAAACTTTTGATAAGAATGAAGGAAAGAAATCTTTTATATATAACACCTGTCACTTAGAATCAGAACAGCATTCATCATTTTAGTTAGAAAGACTATGGGTTGTTTATTGAAACCAAAAAACAAAACAAAACAACACACAAAAAAACTTGAAGTCTACATAATGAAATTTTACCTTTTGAGGGGCGAGATATCCCGAGAGCTGACCTAGCGTTCCACGAGATTTTCGGGCGGTCTGGCTCTCGGGCAGGACCTTCAGCTAGGGAGGGCGGCTACAACGGGGAGAGGGGACGGCCACCACCTGGCTCTCCATAACACCAGTCCTTGGATCTCACTAGGCGCAGGGTGTGCCCATCCCCGCTTCAGGCTTCCAAGGGATCATCTTGGCCACCACCTGGAAAGTCGTGGTAGGTCACAGGAGCCCTCGGGCCACACCTGCTCCGGAGCCCTGACAGGCCCAGCTGTCCCTGGTCCCACGAGTTGATGCGAGATTCGGCGAGATTGGGACAGCTGGCTTGGCCAGATAAGCCAGGCGCCAGACACCTGTGCTCCAGGTCCGCCACCACGCGAGAACCCCTAGGCCATTGCCTGGACACAGGGTCCCAGTTCACGCGCCATCTTGCGAGAGCCGAGCAAGGCCTTGCGCAAGAATTGCGCCCTGGTCTCAGGTGCCTGGGGCTGGCTGGAGCCGCAGGTCTCCCGTGTTCCGGGCTGCGGCTTGCTGGAGGGAAGCTTTACAAAACCTCACTTGGCACCCCACCAACTGTAAACATCACTCATGCAAAGAGGTGGGCACAGAAAGAAGAGAAAATACCATCCACCCAGTTGAGGAAATACAAACCCGTAGTGCCTTAAGCCTCGGCAGAAGGGCCAAGCACTTGTCAGGCTGCCCTCTGAGGCAGGCAGCGGGAGGCAATGGCAAAGGCAGACACCTGAGGCTCCAGATGCCGAGATGGGCCCCTTGGGCAAAATGTTGCCAACCAGCAAGCAGCCTTCAGCAATCCACTTACTTGTCCAAGAGTGGCAGGCAGTGGACCACTCCCTAGAGGCCTGAGACACTCCACAGAGGATGGGACGATATCGGGGATGTCTCTGCATGGGCATGTGTCAGCAGTCTATTGCCCACCTGTGAGTTTTCAGGGGATCCTGGCCGACCAGGCTCCCTGTGCACGGTGGCCCGGCTCACTCCTGGCCAGGGCTTCTCCGCGCTGCTGGCCTCCCTCTGTACAGGCTGCTCTGGAAGGCAGGCCGCCCACCTGCACCCATGCAGGGATCCCTCTCTGCAAACCTTTCCCTTGGGGGCAGGTCTGGCTGCTTGCTCAGTCCTGCACATGAGTCCTCGACTCCTGCAGCCTTTTCCCTCAGAGACCTGCTCCTCAAAGAGAAGGGTGAAGGGTGAACTTCACCTATCAGAGCCTTGGCATTCACTCCATGGCATGTGCGCTGACCGCAGATGCTGGGGAGGATGATCCCCGGGCCAATGTTCAAGGAGGTATTGGTGTCCCTCGCATGACTGTAGCCCAAAGCTGGGTTGTTGGAGCCCATGCTTACCCATCCTGGCATGTTGCGCCTTTTCCGGACCTGTAGCCCCTCTGCAAGTGCATCCGTGGTCACTGGCAGGTTGCTGTGGCACCACAGAAAGCGTGGCAAAGTCGCTGTGGCACCCAACAAAGCCTTCCGGCCTTACCGAAGAGGCTCCACGTGATGCTTTGCTGCTCCCACCTCCGCAGGCACCTTTGCCGAAGATCCACCCACGTGCCGACCCCAATGGCCAGGCAGCTCACCCCGCGGCTTCCTCCATGACCGAAGCCCCAGGCCCCGGGCAGCATTGCCATACCATAACTGCAACCCCACATGCACGCATCTTAGCCAGACGTAAGCTCCTGTCCACGCACAGACCTCGCAAGACATGGGCGGATAATGGGAGGGAGCCACCCAGCAGAGGGACTGCTCTAGGGCTGTGGTCCCAAAGGACAGACCTGCCGAGCCCAGCTCTCCCCAGCACTGCAAGATGCCGCGAGATTCCCCGAGATCAGGGCAGCTGGTTGGGCATGATTAGCCTGATGCCAGCCACCTGTGCTGCAGGTGCGCCTCCACGCCGAACCCTCAGGCCGTTTCCGGGCCACAGCTTCCCCCTCCGCCATTTTGGGCTGCGCCGGGGTACTTGAGGAGGGAGATATCGTGAGAGCTGAGCCAGCCTTCCATGAGATTTTCAGGCGGACTGGCTCTCGGGCAGGAAATTCAGCTCGGGAGGGCAGCCACCACGGGGGGATGGCCACGGCCTGGACTCTCCATCACACCAGTGCTTGGGTCTCACTAGGCGCAGGGCGTGCCTATCCCCTCCTCAGGCTTCTGAGGGATCACCTTGACCTGCCGCCTGGAATGTCGTGGCAGGTTACGGGAGCCTTTGGTCCACACCTGCTCCGGAGCCCTGACAGGCCCAGCTGTCCCCTGCCCCGCGAGTTGATGCGAGATTCGGCAAGATCAGGGCAGCTGGCTTGGCCTGATTAGCCCAACACCAGACACCTGTGCTGCAGGTCCGCCTCCACGTGAAAACCCCAACATCATTGCCTGAACACAGGGTCCCAGTTCACGCGCCATCTCGCGTGAGCCGAGCCAGGCCTTGCACAAGAATTGCGCCTTGGCCTCGGGGGCCCGGGGCCCGGCTGGAGCCGCGGGTCTCACATGCTCCCGGCTGCAGCGTGCTGGAGGGAAGCTTTAGAACACCTCACGTGGGACCCCACTAGCTGTAAACCTCACTCATGCAAAGAGGTGGGCTCAGAAAGGACAGAAAATACCATCCTCCCAGTTGAGGAAATCCAAACCCGTAGTGCCTTAAGCCTCGGCCGAAAGGCCAAGCTGTTGTCAGGCTACCCTCGGAGGCAGGCTGCGGGAGGCAACGCGAAAGGCACACACCTGAGTCTTCAGATGTAGAGATGGGGCCCTTGGGCAAAATGTTGCCAGCCAGCAAGCTCCCTTCAGCAGTCCACTTACTTGTCCAAGAGCGACAGCAAGCGGGCCACCCCACAGAGGCCTGTGACTCTCCACAGGTCACGGGACGATATCGGTGCTGTCTCTACATGAGCACGGGTCAGCAGTCTATTGCCCACCTGTGAGTTTTCAGGGGCTCCTGGGCGAGCAGGCTTCCTGTGCATGGCAGCCCGCACTCCAGGCCGGGGCTTCTCCACTCTGGTGGCCTCCCTCTGCGGAGGCAGGCCACCGCCTGCACCCATGCAGGGCTCCATCTCAGCAAGCCAACTGTGCTGCAGGTCCGTCTCCACGAAGAACCCTCAGGTCATTCCCGGGCCACAGCTTCCCTGGCCGCCATCTTCACCCATTCCAACAAGACTAAGAGTTGCTGTTTCATAGATTCACAAACATCACCAATACTTGCAATTTTGTTAACATTTATATCAGTGCTTGAACCAGGGCTTGAGGCAGAGATCTAGCATTAAGAAGAGCACCATGTTAATTTACCATTTAAAGGAACACAGGACTAGTATTCCTGTTTATTTCCTTGACTCCAATAAGTAAATGTCATATAAGTTTTTACTGTTATCATCATGGTATCTTGATCACTGTAATATTTTCTTTTTAAATTGAGAAATAAAATTGCTCCTGGTACATGTTAAATTAAAAGCATTCTTAGGATAGCACTATGCTCTGGGGGCATATCTTATGTGTTTGCACAGGAAATTAACAGGGTTTTCAGCTTCAAAATGATTGTACAATGAAAGAGACATGTAGCCACATGAAACATTTTGATTTTTTTTTAATTTAAAAAGTGATATTTCCATTTAGCCCACATATAATTTGTCCAAGTTTATGAAGAAAAAGTTTTCAGTGAAAGCCATTTACCAATGTACAAATGTACAAAGCCATTTACCAATGTACAAGCCAGAACTACTTATGCTGCTGTGTTAAATAAAAGTCCATTAAAATAACACTAAGAAACAAATTTTGTTTCAGTACCATTGAAGAAAATATACAATGATAACTTTTAAAAACTATAGAACAATTTAAACTGTCAGCCGTGTTAAAAATTCCTTCCTGCTGAAAAGAAAAAAAAATGTCTAAATAGTGCTTACAAACGTTTTTTGAACCTGCGTGTGTATATATCTTTCTTAATATAGTGGATGCATATTTCCTCACAGCTTCTTTTTAAGGCATTCTATAAATGCTTTATAGACCATCAAGTAATCTTAAAGTAATGATGATGATAATGGTGAGGTTAACCTCATCATATTAACCTTGTGTTATCAAAATCGAAAGTAGTTACACTGACTCATGCTAGGGTTTGATTAAATAGTTAGCTATTTCACAGTATGTTTTATAATAGAGAACCATTATTAACATTTCTAATAGGAGCAATGCTGAAAGTTTTTCAGAGTCTCTCTACTTCCTATCATTAACTTTTAATCTATATAACTAATGACCAAAATTTTATCAATGATTCTTATTCCCAAAACTTAAAATTACAATTCTCATTCTCCCAAGTTTTCTGAATTTGGGCACTTTCCTTAAATCCCTGCATTCAAAGGAGGCACCAAAGTGTTTCTTTAAGCTGAGAAATATTTTTCAAGGCAGGAGTTCTGATCACTCTTAACTACTCAAAAGTTGTGGAAACTAATTTTACAGATTTGATAAATCAGAAACTTCTTCCTCCCCACTCCTTTACATAGCATTGTACTACATTAAGTACTTCAACCAATTATTTGAAATTATTTAGAAAAATCTTAAAATAGTACACATTTTTCATTAAAAAAAAAGGATCTTGCCAAAAAAGTCAAAATTAAGCCGAGTCCAACAAATACTTTCAATGTAAAACTCTGTAGATATAAATTTCTGTAGATGTCTTTTAGCTTACTAGTAAGTCCATTTGAATGAGACTTGATCATTTTAATATGATGACTAAAGAGACATTCAATTCTATCAAGTAATGTTGGGCCTTGATGTGTTGCAGTTGCCTGACAAGACCGAAATTCAGCTTGTGTCAGTGTGTTGATGGAGGGGATGTTGCTGCCATCAAATGTGTTCCTTCTGGTGCTTATTCTGTCACGTTCGTTTTGCACAGCTTGGACAGAAAAATATCACATTATTTATTGGTCAGTTCTCCTTAATATGTGTCAGGACATATAATTTGAAGTTAAAAACAGTAGGTATAAAGATTTTTTTTTTCTGAAATAACTTAGGGGGTAAGGAAAGGAAATATGACTGAAAATATATTTTATTCTGTATCATTTCTAAAAGTAAAAAGGGATTGGTTTGTCACTAGAGTTCATAAAATATTGCCTTTTGGGACTTCATGATGGCATGCATTGGGTCAGCCAGTTGTGTCACACTGATTTTTAATAGGATGGTTTTCTATTCTTTCCAAGTTACTAAAACCCTAAGATGACTAAAGGAAGAATATCACCTGTGAGATTGACCAGGTCAAAGTTAAGAGTGTATTCACTGTCAGGAGATATGAGTCATAGATTTTGAAACTTCCATTTTCTTTTCCTTATAAACCACTAGCTAAAGTGGAAAGGCAATTTATTTTAGTTAAGGTGATTTTAAGATTGCAATCTATGATCTCTTACGAAGCACTAACCTTGGGAGAGATTACAAACATTCATAAAGCAAAAGGTGGGGGTTTCCTCCTAAGAAGGGGGAGCATTTAATATCACCATTTTGAAAAGTCAAAAAAGCCTTTCATAGAGCTAGATTTACATGTTTTTTTTGTTTTTTTATTATTTTTTTATTAAAAAGTTTATTTTTACATCATTTTCACATTTTTTTTTCATCTCAATTGTAATCCCCACGGGTTTCCCATCACCAAATCACCCCTGTGCCACCACCATAGT